CAACTTTTGCTCTCTTATTCATCAAGCTTTTTTTATTAACCAAACTTATACGTAACGTCCATTTCGGACACGCGTCGTAGGTACAAGTCACTATACATATACAAGTATCTAATGAGACGTGCATCACGCTGCCTTGAGAGCCTTGAGAGAAGAGAGCGGAAGATTTTATTGTGTTAGCCGTACTTTTTCGCGCTACTCGCATTTAAAACAATATTAATTAGGCTCCAGATAAAGAAACATCGCTCAGAAGTAAAAAGATACATGTTACATCTAGAGATCGTTACGTCACCCTACAGAACGTCCAACAATACTTTTATGCTAATAAAGCGCTGGCTCTATGTATTGTACATAATGATATATATTTACAAGATACATATAGGATATAGTATGTATATGTATATACAATAGATATTACATAACATTATCATTAGCAATGTTTGTTAAGAGTGTTAAAACACATGCGTGCAATAATATCGTCTTTTATTAGAAAATTAATTAGAAAACGTCTCAAGTTTGTTGAATTTTGCATTTATTCATTTTGCTTTATATTTGATTAATTTTTCGTCTCTTGTCAGTGCTTGCGCCAAAGTTTGTGCTGTACTGGCTGTACACAATGTACACAATATTGATATTATGTTGCATTATGTAAAGTAACGACCTGAAATCTTTTGATCTGAAATAACATCTATCGTGCAGTTGCACCGTATTAGGCAACAACACCGAGGTATTTTCACCTTATCGTATTTATCGATAAGACAAACCAACTGTCTCCAACTAAAGCACAGATGTGTTTGATGACTATTTTTCGCAAAACGTCGCGTGCAATGTCATTTTGGATAAAATCATGGTCACGGGCACGCGGTCATTAACATTGTAGCCCTCGTATCACCTTGATAAGGCTCGCGTTTTATCGTGCCGACTGCCGACTCGAAGCGGCTAGGCTTTTTCATATCTCTATATACGTTGATTTATATCCTTTCTCTTTCTCTCTCGTCTTTGCATTAAGCTCCACCCTTTCTGAGAAACGAGGCAGTAGCAGACCCTCGTAAAATATTTTCCTACATTCTAGATAAATATATTTATATATATAGATTTTTATGTTAGAATTCAGATAAGTTTTCTTTCCTGTGTATGTGTGTGTAAATATATGTTTATGATTATGCAACTTTCATATCTATTAATAGCTATACACACTATTTTATATATTTATATTTATCAGCAAAATATGTCTCGCGACATATTCACTGTGTGTGTGTGTGTGTGTGTGTGCGTATGCGTGATCTAATAAATAAAAAGATACATATCCAATATTTCAAGAGATAATTTCTAGATCCATGTTTATGAACATTTCTCCTTCTTCTGTTCAGTTCGATCGTAAAGTTCGCACATGGTTTCAGATGCCCGAGTCAGAACCCCATGTCAAACGACATTTACGTACAGACGAATTGAATTTTCCCTCGCGGCAACGGGTAGATCGATTGAGCGAAACGCTCCCATGTCCCATCGTACCGTCGTCGGGTCGCGTCGCGCCGCGTCGCGCTAGGGAATCACCCTGAGTAATCGCTCCGGATCCTACAAACGAATGTAGCAGTCTCGACTTGATACGTTACTGGCGTTCAGACGCGCCAATGTGTGTATATCACGACAGTGATAGGTGAGTGGGTGGCGGGGGCGGTGAAGGCGGCCGCGGCCGCGACGGGAGACGGGAGTCGGGACTGACGGCAGTCGCAGAACGGCGGGATGGTAGGGGGAAGAGGATGGAGACGTCGGTGGCCTTGAACTTGACTGCCGTCGCTTTTTGCGCACAGCCGCCTAGCCGCTGCGTCGCCCGCCCAAAACGGCCAAAACAGCCCACCGGCGTAGATCGTAGACCTCGTGCGTCTACCCGACGCGACGCGACGATCGACGATGACGATGACGACGACATCGTGCCGTCATAGGGGATCTCTCTCAAACATATTTATTCTTCGAATTAGAGTATAAGTCAAGAGTATAAAAGATGACATGTTTAACGATCCATTCAACAAGTTAAAATCTAAGACTGCAGGTCTCTCATCTAATAAATTATAAATTTAATTGTAATTTTGACGTTCAACGTAAACGGAATTTGAACGTCTAAATTTCAGATATATTAATCAAAACTTTCAATAATTTTGAAAAAATTATCTACTTTCTCATATTTATCAGTCTTTTTTTTCGTTCGTTGATTTTACAGCGTTTGTATTTCAATGAAAAAACCGGTTCACTCTTCCCGGCGCATTCACATATCTGACATTATACGTATAATTGTATTTCGATATTTATGATTCGATTTCAAAACGAATTCATTACGATTCTTTCTTTTCCCGATTTATAATCTAAACCCGTGTGTGACGTGGGTAAATTAAAAATTATACTTGCTACGCGCAGCAGCAACTCGAGTCGATCGATACGAGTACAGGTCAGTGTACTCGCGGAAACTTTTCAATATCTTGTTAACTCTTAACTTATCCAGAGGAGTCTACTGAACTTTTTCCGTTAGGAGAATCCTAACAATCTTCTTTAATCCCAGAGAGATATAGCCAAAATAGCACTATCTCATTATAAAATATATACAACACTTCATATGCCGCGCCTACTAATTATTACGTGTTATAGCGTTATTTTTTACTGGAAAATAAGTCGAAAAATCCTTAACTATTGTTCTCTTTGATATTTAACGGAGAAGATATTATCCTTTTGTACCTATATCGTAAAATATTTTCATAAATTCAAATATTTTAATACTCTTTGTGCGCGTGTGTTTTCTCTAAAAAAAGTATAAGCTAAAACTTTTATACGTAGAATAATGGGAAGAATCAATTCATATAAAAAAATTATACAGTTCTATTCTAAGAAAAGTGCACGTACACAAAATGAGGTCATCGATTCTTTCCACATTATTCTTTATATAAAACTACTAAAGTAAAATTAAAAGAGATATGCTGAATATACTGACTGACGTAGGCTTTTTAAAGTTTTACAGGCTGAGAACTTTGCTCCGAATAATGAATCGCACGAGTATCATGTTCTTGTAATTAGTAATTATATATACCTGTTGACGCAAAACAAGTAAAAATTAATTTTTATGATAAGCGCTATTCAAATATGATAATATCTAGTGTATGAAAATGAATACTATTGCGCAACACATTTTATAGAATGTGTATAATATACAATAATAATAACAATCATATACCAAGTAATAATTATAACAGATTTTTCAGCGTCTTTCGTGCGTACAATTAGAAAATAGTTTTAAAATTTCTCCTCAATCTTTCCTTTAACGATTTGAAGAAATTTCACAAAATGTAATTCATTATTTACATCACGGCTGTTTATTACGTAATGCGCTAAATGTTGTAGATCGTTTTATTTATTTTTATTTATTTAAAATATTTATATTATATCGTCGACGTCTGTTGGATATTTATTAAACAGTCCGTGATAAAATCTAGAGATCTTAAAAGACGTCTGCCGGCAATTATTAAACTATCTCAAATCTCAATCAAAAAGATTAAATTCTAAGCAAAGTACAATAGAAAATCAAGAGACTCAGATCGTCGGCTCACGATCGAGAAATTTACCGTGTTCGAAGCAAGAACTCGTCGATATCGCGAAACGGCGGATGTGATGAGATGAATGATGATGACCGGGACGGGGAGCGGTCCGTGTTCTCCAAAAGTTCACCGACGGAAAGAGGGAAACAACGGAGCCGCTGCCAGTAGGCTGAGTGTCGTAGGGCATCGGTCGTCATTGCACGTACATAAGTACTAGGTAGGTATATAGGTAGACTGATAGACCTCGCGCGTGGCGGATCGATATAGCACTCTCGCTTTCTCTCGCATTCCCGATGTACGAGCGATGACGGATGACGCGATGGCGCACGTGCCCGCGTGTCTGAAATCCTCGGCTCGGCCTCGGGAACCGATATAATTTCGGCGAGTTCAATTTCCGACAATCCCGACGCCGCGGCGCGAGGGAATAGAAACTGGAGGCTGCAGGCTAGAAAATGATCAATTGTTGTACGGTTTATTTCGCGTTGTTTTACGTTGCCATATACGACGGCGTACAGAAACCAGAAACGTCAAAAGTTATAAACATTAGGAAATTTATGGGGGAGTGTGGAGAAAGTGCGGAATGCAGAAATAGGAATACTGTATTTTAATAGGTATATGTACTCGTAAAATGAAAATACCCTACTATGCAGAGGAATGAAGTAAACGCGTCAATTGTCATTGCATATTGAGCATTGAGGAGTGGCCGTCGGTAATAGACATTCGTGCCAGAGACAGCCTCGGTTGATATTGGCTGTCGATCAGCGATGTTTCGCGGGTACCTAACCAGACCTAACCAGGCTACCAGCTGATGTATATACCAACGCAGTCTTTCCCCGATGCACACATTGCACTTGCACATGCAACCATGCAACGCCTACGACATGATCGTTTCGTAACGCATCGTTGCTATGGAAATCTTGCTGATGTATCTCCGTCTAAACGGAGCAATGTCTTAGTAATTAACTTTGCAATAAACTTAGTCTTAACGGAGCAATAAACTTAGTGATTCGCAAAACAGAGTGATCGCACGCGTCATGGATTCGACGCGGCTGACTTGAGACTTGAGAGCGAAGGGGGATCAGATTCATCAGATCATTTAGATCAAGGCCGCGGGCAGCCGGGCCCCGAGGCCCCCCGAGCACGAATAATTCCGCGCCGCGGTACGACGCGCGAGGAAGGGATGAAACGAGCGACGAATGCGACGATCGGGAGAAAAAACTATGTACGCGGCGGAGCGAGGAGGCGAGGAGTACGCGGAGCACAAGGTGTATAAGCAGAGTTCGCAACAAAGATGGCGGACGCGGATCTGGCGAAATCGCATGAGACTCGCGGTCGCGGCGAGACGGCGGCAAAACGATTCGCGATGCGCCGATGCGGAGCACACGCGCGCGCGAGAGCACGTCGCGTATCACGTTTACTCACCGGCTGAAAGACTCAATCAGCTCAATCGCGACCTCCTCATTGCCGCTCGTGGCCCCTCGTGCACGACAAAAATGCTTGCGAGTAATGGCCGATTTTATGCTTTATGGCCCACCAGTGGCGGAAAACTCGGACGGAGTTTCGCCGAGTTTCGCGGGGGCAGCAGCATCGGCCGCGTGGCACCATCAAACGTAAATCGCGTGAACCTCCAACTTGGAGGCTCCAAGGGTAAAAGCAAGCCTCTACCGATAATTCACGAGTCTCTCAACCCCAACGTCCACGTTTTCTGTCGTTCTCTCTAGAGATTTAATTTTCACAATAATGCGACACCCTAAACATTAAAAAAAACAATGCTTCATGTTCCATCTTGCACTCTGATTATCATATTTTTACTACAGATAGATATCAAAGCAGAGAAAAAAAAAAGGAAGCGGAAAAATTAAGAAAGGCACAGGTGACAGACTTGTATGTACAGCAATCCGTATGAAATACTCGACTATTCGATGACTAAAGTTACATAAATATTTCTCAGATAATTAGGCATCCTTTTTAATTGACAACTTAAGGATTCGACGCAACAATAGTTTAATTTAACCGAAAAACTTTAATAGAAAAGTAATCTTGAATTTTCTTTCAAGTTTTTAAGAATATAACTTTTTGTTTCTTAAAAAGGTGCGAGAGACCACTGTCACATCGAATATCCTATAACATTCGTTCAAAATATTGTTTTCGAAATATACTTTGAAGCTATCAGACTCTGGCGATCTCGCACGAGATATTATTGGAACTCCATTTACCGCCGAGGGTCGGTTTCACTCTCAGCCTCGCATAAGCGTGCTTGTGCACGCGCTCCGGATTCAGAATCATGCACTCGTTGATCACTTTGCAGTAACACCGCATGTCGGATGGTAAAATCAACAAGTGCGGCTGCTGGTCAAAAAAGGCGTATTTCTCCCACAACTCCGTGTCCACGTTCAGATCCTCGGACGGAGGATACACGGGGTAAAAACACGTTTGAGCGAGCACGTGATCAGCCAGGCGACCAAGTCTATCACCTGACACATTGCTGAAAACATTGATTAGTTTATCGTTTATCGTTTGTCGTTTATCTTATAAAAATAAAAGACGTGTAAAAATTTTTGTAGACAAAATATGTAACGATGTTATATTACATGTGATTAGGATATTATTAAATGAAAGAATCTATCAATTTCCTATTAACTCCTGAGATCGTTAAAAAGGGCTCTAGGGCATACTTACGATATTTCTTCTTTCCCGATATGTTTGATAACGTCGACCGACGTGATCCCGATCTTCAAGCCCGCGACATCCAACGTACAAGGATCCGGCATCAGCTTTAAGTTGGAATAATTTTGTAACAACTTCCGATTGAAAACTGCGTATTGAGGGGTTGGGAATATAGGTTCGTGATGTGCGTCGCGATTAGAAGCTACCAGCACGATCTGCGTGCTCTTCCTGTAACATCACACAGTTCATTATTAACAGAGAGATAAAACAGAGAGAAAAAGTTTCTTTATCTCAACGTGTATCAATTCACGTGTATAATGACGAAAAGAAAAGCAGTATTCATTGTTTTCAAACGCTTTGAATTGAAGAATTCGAGACACTTTGTACATTACCGCGTCGATTCCATTATTCTCGTGAGAATCTTCTCGAATAGTTCCTGATGCGTATCCTTAATGAGATTGTCCTGTATTTCGGGATGCGTGTATTCGAGGAAAGGCCCGATCAGTATCAAGACCTGCGGTTCGTCTGACGCGACCTTCTCCATCAAATCCCACAATGGCTGGTAATGCACGTTGTTGGACGCGGTGAACGGACCCGCCGCGATCAAGATATCGACTCTCGATTCGATTCGCGGCGTCGACGCGAGCGGCGCGTACGATTTCGCGAATATCTCCTTCACGTATAACGCGTCGCCTATTGGATTCACGGCCTCGACTGCCACGATCTGACCGGAGAATACCGAGTATTGTTTCAGACTGCGAAAGTCCAGCTCGATCGTGTCGGCCGCCGAGGCGCCCTTGCGCCTCGTGCTACCCTCCAGCATCACCGTGTTCGCGGATTCTTTCTTCAGGTTGATGCGACCGAACGTCCGAAAGTTGGTTTGATTCACGCTCCGTACGTTCTTCACGTAACGCAGCTCGGTGTTACCGGTATTACCGGTCGCCGCCGTCGACCACGTCTTTAACAGTCTGCCGCCCAAACTCTGGCATACAAACGTGAGAAGGTGTCCTTGTTTCGACAGGATCTCGTACATGTACCTCGCGTCGCTAGGGACATGCGGCTCGTCGGATTTCGTAACTTGGACATCGTAATCGCTTGTCCTCTTCCAAGACGCGACGGTCTCGCCGATGGAAAGCAAGATCTTCCCCTTGTCCGTTACATTACGATGACTTGGCGCGCTACTACACACGACAAAATATATTGCAGAAGCGTTTGCAACAAGCGTTTGAAAAATCTTTATCTGTGTCCATATATATTGAAATATTTAATTTGAGATATATTAGATGTATATTACGACTATCTTGTTGCAATTTCAAATTTTTTTAAAGAATAAAAAAATTTCGAGCATAAGTATGCATACTCTACGAACTCTCTGTTGATCTCTTCAGCTCTTCAGCTCTTCAGAGCGTTATTATACTTAACGCGCAAGTGAATCTAATATATACCATGAAAAGTTTAATCTTGAAGTTGAGAATTTTGTAACTAGGAACTTAAACCGCTAAAAACGCATGAATTTAAACCGCTAAAAAAAGGCCGTTTTAATTAATTGAAAAAAAAAAAAAAAAAAAATTTGCTTACGAATTCTCGACGCAGCTAGCTGGTGTAAACGCGTATTCCGCAACTCTCGCTTTATCGGCTCGTGCATCCGCATCGATTTCTACCTCGGGACTTGTTCGCGGGCGCTACGAGGAAAAAGAAAACAGCCGCGTTACCCATCATCTTTTGATTGTACACGAACGTGCGCGAATCCACGTCAGCCGGTGATTGACGTGTACGCACACAACTGCGATCCTTTAATCAAAGAATTCACCTCGAAACTGCCTTATATCCGAACCTGTTCAAAAGTGAAGATTATTTGTATTACAAAACTAACAATAAGAGAAAGAGACAGAGAGAGAAGCCTCGCAATATATAATCCGTGGTTTTTTCGGAAGACGGTCCAGAAGCAAACTCTTGAATTATTCGCACGAGATCGCGATGATCCCACCTTTTCCAAATACAATATAAAAAAAAAAACAAAATGCTGAATATATAAATCAAAATCAAACGTTCTTCGTCCTACAAACCACGAAATTGGAATCGAATCACATGTTAAAAATCGTCCGAAGTCGGACTTGACATCTTAATATTAATCTGTTGAAGCAATATCTGTGCTACGTCTCTATTTATTTCCGCTCTTGTTTACATTACATCTTTTAAGTATTTAAGCTACGTTACGTATATTTTTGCATTCTTTTTCTTAAATTTCTAGTAGACGTAGCAGCGGTCTCGCCTCACCTTTTGCGCGTAGATCTGTATTATATTTGCACATCATACTTGGTCATTCTGTAAATTATCGCTACCATTTGGGATACATGTATACATTGCACGCGGTAAATGACTGTTATTAAAATGATTACTATTATTACCGTTTTCACAGAGAAAACCGCATACATTCTTATATATGTATACATGTATAAACGAGTAGTACAAGTGTAATTTCGCGTAAATTCCACGGTGAAACATATCAATATATCGATATAGTTACAGACAACGACCTATCCCGGAGGTATTCGCGCACATTCGAGGGGCTCCCGACTTCCGATTCCGATACCGAGACAGATTGCCGTAGACGAGTATGTATCTAGTCACGAAATGATGAAACACGTGCACCACATCCACACTCGTCTATGGAATTATTCTCTTTCTCCGTCTCCGGGCGTAATTATACTAATTATTCGCTTTGCTTTGCTTCGAGAGCCGCTGTAACAGTGATAATCTTGTCGATCGGACCTCGCCGCAAGATCTCCTTGTCGAAGGGAGCCTAATTTATTTAAATCGGTTATAGGGATCCTCCAATGTGCAGGAATAGAGTAGAGTAGAGTAGAGTAGAGTAGAGTAGAGTAGAATAAAATAGAATAGAATAGGCTCTCCTCAGGATCAGGAAGGTAACGCTGCTTCATGAAGGAGAGGGGAGAGAGGATTCCTCCGATTTCGACGATCGCTCCGAAACGATGGCTGCTCGAACGTGCTTAATGAGTGTGGATCTAGTCACAACTTTATCGACCGTGCACTAGACCGCCACTCATTCGGCAAATCCGAAAAGAATCCTCGCGTGGGTCTCCCTTTTCTGCATTTTCTTCGAAATAGAGAGGAACCGGCTGATTGTGCTCAAGTGCCGCGAATGCTTGTCGCGCGCACGCGAATATACGAGGGAGAAACGGCGGGAACGACGTTGCCTGCCGTTGTACAGAGGTTAACTGCGATTAACCTGGCCGCTCTTAACGTCTGCCTTGTATTACGCATTGTTTCAATGTCCGACGCGGTCCGATCTCCGATCTACTCCGATCCTCTCCGCGTTCCACGATCGGAGCGTGTCACACCACGAGTACGCTCCTTCGCACGTGACACGTTCCCTCTCGCTCTACTTCCCTACCGTCTTCTTTTTTTTCCTCTTCTCCTCCAGTTCTCCTCCCGCCTCCCGTCGCCGTCGCCGTCGGATGCACGCAGGTACGTTCTTTGTAGCTACGCTACGTTATACTTTCTGCACTCAAAATAAAGCAGATATCTCTATAATTGGACGTCCGCGTCGCGTCGGAAAGGGAGAGAGAGAGAGAGAAGGAAGAAAGAGCACAAAGGGCTCGGCTACAAAGGAACGAACCTGATGACGAAACGCTCGAGAACTTTCAAGAAAACGAACTTTTTCGGCGAGAAAACGCGTCGATTTTCTGGCGGAATGTAAACGATAACCGGGAATTAAAAGAATCTGAGCTGCTACTCCTCCGTCATTTTTAGAAAGGCAAAAAGAAAAAAAAGGATACTTCGCACTTAAAATATTTCTTCAAATAATGAAGAGATGTACGCTCTTGCGCCCACATCTCTTCATCTATCGCTACGTGCACTCTGCACGCTTTCATGTACCCCTCTATATCATCGCGTTTCGTAGAAAATTCGAAAAGTAACGATGCGACGCAAACATTGTTTATCCATATTCTTTCTTAAACCCGGAAGCTCGTAGACCAAAGATAAGAGGTAAAACTCGCTCCGAGTAGAATCGAAGAAGAATCCTACTCCTCGTGTAAAAAAACTGAGAAACAAAGCGGAATATGTAAAATAAACGTGCTTTCGTTTTGTTTTCAAGGGAGAGAGAGAGAGCGAATCAGTCTTCAAAAGCCAAACACGTCTGTTCGACTTGTGTTTGCCTTATTTGACTTCTATTGACACGTCGCAATGATAAGTTAACGGAAAACACATTGTTGTAATGCTCGAGCGTCTACGAGAGCAATCCGGATTCTGAACTAATATTGTCCAACTAATGTCGACGAGTAAACAGTAACGTTGATAAACAGACATTCGAAATGTGCAGTTAAGTCAATATAAAAGCGAAAAAGACACCTCGCGTTCGATACAAGTAAATTTCACAGATATTCCTATGTCTTGTGTAGGAAAGGAACGGAACGATATAACTTATTCGAACATTAGACGTACTATAAGTACTAGCACATACTCGTCGAGTATACTTGGTCCGAAAGATATTACAGTGAGCATTCGCGCGCGGAATTTTATCAGGTCTTTATCAGATCCAAATAGGGAATAAAGCTTTACTGTCCTCTTCGTAGTCTTCGTACCTCGTACCTTTGATATCTAAACTTGTAAGAACTTGTAAGAACTTTTCATTCTTAATCGCGTACACAAACTAGCTATCAATCTACCGACATTTACATGAAAGAGAAAAAAATTACACCCAGATTGGTCGAATCGAACAACAGGTCCACTGGTCCACGATACTCGGCAAACAAATCCACAGCAACTACTTACGGGAAGAAAAGGACCGTTCTCTACGGTCCACCGGACCACCGGATCACCGACACTGTAAATCTTGTCTCTTCTCTATTCTTCTCCCATGATCCTCCACCCTCCAGATCACGGGTGATACGGCCGTTTTCTCTGACAAACCGTGCTCGCCGTCCGCCGAGAGCGAGCATTCCGGCGATTCCGGCGATTGTCGGCGAGCGTCCGTTGAAACCGTTTTGAAACATTGGCGAATATCGATCCGTCTCTCGCCTGAGTCACGCCGGTCACGCGGGCGGCACGAAGCGAAGCAAAGACGAAAGAAACGCGCCCGACGGACCGAAAGCCGTGCGGGCGAGGGAAGAGATTGGAACAGTTGTTGTTCAATTGTGCTTAATTGATGGAGAGACACCAACGGGCAACCCGTCGCGTCGCGTCGCGTCGCATCGGTCAAACGCGATATCGCTAGGCGCGAGTTATTCGCGTTGCTGCTTATCGGCGAAAACGCACATCTCCCGTTTCTCGACGATTTCAGCGGTCGAGGAGAAAGTTGACGGCGAGCGGACGAGAGCCGAGCCGACAAAAGCCGGCGCGGCGGAGAAAAACTCGGCAGCAAAAAATGTCGCCAGGGAAGAATCGAAAAACAGGCCGGGGGAAACTGTCTTTCTTTTTTTCATACGTACTAACTTACTTCAATCAAAAACTCGCATCAGTAGCTTCAGTAAATTTGGACGTTATATGCTAAAAGCGAGAAGACGAAGAGAGAATGCATATCAGTAAAATATCTGTAAAAATATAAATAACGATTAAGTAAAAGAGATGGATTGATGGATCACGACGTGTACGACAAGTTATACAATCCCGGCGTTATAAGAGATTCGCGTCGAGAATTTTTATTCAAATTTCGGCACCGCATAAAAGGAGATAAAAGTCACCAAAGAATATCGGAACATCGCGCGTCGTGCGCATTCGATATTGGCTGCAGCGAGCACCAAACACGTTACGTCGTGACCTTTAATGCTGTGTGTGGTCGAGTTTGAATCTCCACTCCTCCCACTCAATACTGATTGACGGATAATTAAAAAGAACTTGTATTCCCATGCAACAGACTCTTTTCAATCATCCGACTCGCAATCTCTCTGCAACCTGCAACCTGCAATCAATCTCCCCTGTCGAATCCAATCTTACGAAATCGATAAAATGGTAAAATCGCGAGGAGAGGTTTGTTCATTCCGCGCTCCTCAATCTCCCTCTTTCTCCCTCCGACGGTCTAATTATACGCCTACTTCTTTTCCTTGGAGTGCGGATGCGGAACGCAGCACCCGCAGCACGTTCTTCCGCAGACATACTAAGAACAGACTTACTAAGTACCGTCGTTATCGTCAGTCGTTGGCGCAACAGGTTGCAGCGGCGAGCGGCGAGGCGAGCGCGCGCGGCGCGAATCAACAGGGTTGTCCGTTGCCGAAGCCCGAAGCCAACGGTCGTCGCACTCAAGTCCGCGCGACGCGGCGCGGCGTCCTTTCTCTCTCTCTCTCTCTCTCTCTCTCTCTCTCACGAGAGTCACGACTGCGCACGCGCGCGCGCGCGCGATGATCAACTCGCAACTCGCGAGGCGAAAAGCGAGAAGCGAAAACCGACGTTCTCCTCCACGAGTCCCACCATTGGACGCGGGGAGAAGCCAAACGCATCGACGCGCGATCGGCGGGATCGCTCGCCGCGCGTCGCGCACTCGCGAACCTCGTTACAGTCGGATTGAGCCGAAACCGAACCATCATGGCCGCCGATGTTACCGCTTCTCTCCCGTGTTCTCCTCCCGCACACCATCACGTAATCGAGATGATCGCGATCGCGCGATCAAGCCTCTCAGAAGCGGGCCGTCGCATCGCGTCGTCGCGGACGGGTTTTCCCGCGCGATCGCGAGCCGATTGGGGATTGGGGTTGCGCGAAAGGTGCGATGCGACCCCATGGCTAGTAATCTCACTCGCGAGTCGCGAGCGCGAGGATGCGCTTGTCAGACGCCGATGCCGATGGGCCGATGGCGGCGTGAGGCGTCACGTCGCGTTGCCGTTACCGTTACCGACGCCATCGAGAAATACCGAGCCACACCGGTAACCGAGTGTAACGCGACTGCGAGTCGTGCGCACCAACCAGCCGCGAGCGTAGGCCGTAAATCGCGCGAGAATAATGACTTATCTCTCTCTCTCTCTCTCTCTCTCTCTCTACTCTCTATCCGCGTATTCACAGCAACGAGGCGCGCGTAAATGCGAGAGCGCGAGCGACGATCGACGAACCAACGGCGAACGGCGACGCGCCGGAGGCCGGAGTCCTTGAAAACTGAAATCGTGCCCTTCGAAAGAGATCTGTTCGGCTCGCCGAGGCGGCCGAGGAGACAGGAGGGAGGGAGAAAGAGGAAGAATCTTTTTCCCCCACCCCCCTCCCTCTCTCTCTCGCCGCTGGAACAGCGCGTTCCTCATATTCTCGTTCCACCAATGGAAACGAGTTGCCTGGCCTGCCGGCCCGATCTCTCTCCTCGCCCCTCCTATGGAGGATCCTTCGTAAAGAGAGCCGAACATGCGCGGAGGAGGAGGTAAGGTGGGAATCTACCTGGGCGATTTTTGTGGCGGGACATACGGTGCCTCCACGCAGAATCCTGTAACGATGCTGTTGCCTCCTCTTCTTTTTCGGTATCTTCGATATACGAGTTTCGAAAATTCCCCCTCGCTCCTTCGATTTAGCGATAAAAGAAAGCGCAACGCAACATCGAGACGCGTATTTACGAACAAGAGAAACGCTTTGCACCGTTGTACATGCGTATATGTATGTACAGATAGACCGGGGAAGATTCATCATGAACAGTGAAAGACGATGTTGGCAGAACGGCGTAAATTTCAGGTAGCTCAAGTAAACCCTGCTGAAACAATGCCAATGCCAATTCTCGAACGGAGCTCCTTTCAAATAGGAAAGAGGAATTTTCCCAAGGTTTTTCAAAAGGGAATAGAATTGTGTTCCCGCCGACGTTCCGGCACTCATCTCGGATAGATTTACGACCTTTACGACTGCTGCAAATGATTATTGAAAATTATTGAAACAATTCCATTTCCATCCGAGAACCTTCCATTTCCTACAATAAAAATTCCTAAGAAATCCTTGCCAGACTAACATTCTTTGAATAAGTATTGTATTTCAGATATTAAAATAATTTAAATATATTCTGCCAACATTGTCTCGCGTCCGTTGTTCATTTACTTTTGAATTGTAGATTAAAAAACTATAAAAACATTAAATTATAATTATAAATTCGCCACAACCATGTATACATTTTTGGAAAATACTCTTCACGTTTCAGTCTTAAACTTGAAGAAACAACGTTGAATAATCGTTATAATTTACATACACATGTGTAAGCGCAACGTGACTATAAGTATATTACATGTCTTGCTTCTGAGATTTATAGTCTAATAATTTAACACATCACGCATAAAATATTTCAATCGAAAATATATTGCTCTTTTATATGACAAAATTATAATACGGGAAGCACGTATAAACTCACCTTTGATGGTCCACTTTCAGCACAGCCGTACATGCTAAGTACATCGTCGTTTTCACTGTAATGTTCACATGTAAGGTGCTATATATATATATATCTATATGTGGGTGTGTATGTGTGCAGCAGTCTAAAATTATCAATCATACTCTTCATCTATGTGCTAGAACATTGACAATTTTTATGTTAAAGGATACCCAACTTGGTTTGCCATCAAGTGTTTTTCCTTTGTAATTGGTTCTTGCTTGGCATGACCTTCCTTAGTCGAGTCATGCACGTTGTAATCCTTCAATACCGTGCGTTCCATCTTAACCAAGGTGTCAACGGTGGGGTCGATATCGGTGTTGTTATTGACGCAAAAAGTGAGCCACAACTCCGTAAGCTTCTCCACGTCCACATCGTAAGACTCGCAGAATTCAAAACCTACATCACACAAATACTCATTGTCAGTAAGAAAACTACGTCCGATAATTTTATCGGACACTTGTGTCGAATTTGCCCAATTAAAATATTAGGGAACTGAATGTTTTCAACATCGACGACATCCAAATTCCAACGTTCCGATTTGGCCCGGGTTTCATCACCGTCATTTAACACATCCAACTTTATCTAAAATTATTTCCGTTTTTCTCCGCGGAAACAGAATTGAAGAGAATAAAAGACCAACGTTAACTGTGTGCCGCTGATAAAACCGACACATTTTAATTCCTTAAAATTTTCATTTCTAACGAATACTTAATATACATATACGTAGCTGAAGAATTCCGCAGTTTCAAAAGTGAGGTTATACGACAGAGAAATCAAGTAAAATCGGCACACGTTTTGCATTACCCATATCCGTACATTTGTTTCATCACCCAAAGCTACGCTTCTATTTTTTAAACGATCTAAATTAAGTCTTGGACGAGTTTCGTGATCCGGGCGGGAGTGATCGAGACGAAATATAGTGATTCCGAAGAAAGAACTTTCGATGGTTGCGAAATCGTGGAAAATCTTAAAAGAATACTCACACTTATCGAGGACGACGTCGCTCTCAACTTTACAGCCTAAATCCTGAAACAGCCTCCGCAAAGACTCCCTTCTCTCCATCTTGAACGACGTCTTTGACAGTCTTTGATCGTCCAGTGTCGTCCACCGTCCACGTCTTCGCTACTTCGCATTCGCACTTGTCTTCGTCCGTTCTCAGCGTTCTCTTGCCGCCAAAACTCGTCGGATTCAAACCATAGACATTGTACATACATATACTTGCAGCCAGCATGTAGAACACAGACACGGCATTGGTTGCATCAATCAAAGAGACCCCGACTCTCGCATGCGCACGCGAGACGCAATGGCCGCATTCAGGAAACACAACTGTTGAGTGAGCGGTCAGTGATTCTTTAATATGATTGGTTCTTACCTTTGGTTCTTCTCCGGATCTAAGTGTAAGAACCAATCATAATGAGCGCTCACGAAGAAACGTAAGCAATAAGTACTTTTACGTTCAATTCACCCGATGCAAAATAAATGAATATTGTATTTCATGCGCTGATTATGGATCACCACATATATTATTCAAAATAATAATAATAATAATAATAATAATAATAACAATACAGTTACGAATACCTCCAACTTGTATTTATTATGTAGTTGTATACTTTTATATAACATACAGTAATCTTTATATCTCATGCAAGAGCTCGAAATAAATCCCAACTTTAAATCCATCTTCTCGTACTCTCGTCTCAGACGTTTAGCTCTTACGTTATATAATCCAAAGGACGGGTCGAAGGCGTCTACGATACTCCACTAGCTGATAAAGTGTTTAAAAAAAGGCATTTAACAGCAAATTAGCTATCCGTATGCAAACTTTGGACAGGATAGATTAATTTAGCTACGAATGTCACGCTAGATCGGTATATGGATCACGATACGATACGATACACTCGCTGCAGCCATACAACGATACAACTTTAAAAAAGTTAAACTGTCACACTCCATATGTATGTACACATTCAACCTTGAAAGCAGGCACTTGTTCCTACTTTGTGTAAACTGTAAGGAATAAAACGTAAGAAAATAATATTTTCGTACGTGTAACACACATCGGCCGTTCTAATAAATAACCGGACAGACGAGATAGTTACACGGACGTTTTAACGATTTAACCGTCGGACAGGCAAATACTCGGATTAATTATCTGCTGACGCAAAATGACGTTTGTCTTTGTTCCAGAGTTCTATCAACGTTTGAGATATGTCTGAACTTGGAAATCTCTCGATCCACGATTGAATAAGCCCGGTGAACGACGACTCATAATTCTTTAGTATCACGTTATTAGGATCGAAACCTGAAAGAAACAGAAACACGTAGATTTACGGAAATACCACGCGAGCATGTATAATGTATCTATGTATACTATATGTACACCCGGACAATACAAATGTCTAAAAAACGTCGTAAGGATGTATAAAAAGTAAGAAAAGCAATAAGGAAAGATGGTATTGATTTGATACAAACCATCGACAAATGTATTTGATTGAACGAAAATCTTCCTTGGTTCCTTGCGAGAGAGAATTACGTCTCTCCAACGAGCCCATGGATGCGGTCCGCTTTCCGGCACTTGGCTGTACTTGCCATACATTTCTTTAGCCGACTCAACATCTCCCATACTCTTGTAAACTTGCAGCTTCAGGAGAAAATCACCAACGGCCTTTTTGCCGACCGTGAAGATTTTGCTTCGATCGACAGTCATACGGAGGTTTTTCCCTTCCTCAGTCTCAACGACATTGACCAAGTTCTGACCCGCCTCCAAGCATACTCGAAGCAAAACGTAACGCGCTTGACTGTGAGCTTGGGACCACGTTTGCGTAGATGGCTGATACATCTCGAGAGCCTTGGCGAGACCGTTCCACAACAGAGACAACCAGTTGACGTAGATTATATCCTCCGCTACTTGTCCCTCGTGACCGAATATGCTCAGTACCTCTTTCTCCAAGCTCAAGTAAAGACCGACCGCTTCTGCCCTGCACTCCTCGTACGTGGATCCCAGAGAACCAAATTTAGAATCGTAGGTCTCTCCCTTCAGAAAAAATTTGTCTATTTTATTACCGGTAAGAGGATTTTTCACGTGACCGCGGTCGAAGTTGTAGGTATCCGGCCCCGTCTGCTTGAATAATTTACCGGTACCGTGACCAAGAAGCTCGTGCAGACCAACTTGCACTTCAAAGCTAGCTATTCTATACTTTTGCATCAGGTCCTGATCGACGTCCGATAGAAACGGAATCGCGTGAGTATCCTTCATATGCGCGGGTATAACGTTCCCTAACGATACATTTTTAAAGCCCTCGGACTGCCTGATCTCGTCGTAATTGGGAATATTGATTCCCGATGGAATACTGGAACCCGCGAACGTTAGAACGTCTAAAGAGGTAAAGTCCGGCCTCAAGAATGTGTCCTTCTCGAAATCTTTGTCCCACGGGAGCTTAGGGATAAATTCCTCGGCTTTGTTGACCAGTGTAGCGAATTTCTCGGACATCTGTCTGTTGACCATCGCCACAAAACCCTCAAATTCTCCTCGCTGACCCGCGGGGTCTCGATACGTCTCTATGAAGCCGATGTAGGTCTCGATAGACGGTCCTTTATCCTTTATCCAAAGACGAGAACCGTTCTTATGATCATCTAAAGATCCCGTTCTAAAATGATCGATGTACTTATCCAGCATATCTTTTTCAATCTGATTGGACGCATACTCTTTAGCTCTCTCAAGGTTTTCCACAACAGGCACCATGAGTTTGCTGTAGTCTCCTCTCGTAATTTTAAATTTGGCATTTCCGTACGTTTCCTCGGGCAGGGTTATCTTAGGATCGTCCGACGTCTCCACCGACGCCAATTTGATCTCGTACACGGCGACGTTATCGTTACTCGCGGGATCTCTGTCGCGGCGCCCTACTGTCTTGAAGCACCTTGCGTTACAGGATTCCAATCCTTTATGTTGCATGAACGCGTTCACTCTGTCCGCATCTTCTTCGGTACAATTTGCAGAGAAATAAGTTGTCACACCTTTGTCACCTAATCCCAATGATTTCAATTTGCCGTCTAAGGAATACAAGGCATTCGAAATGTTGTCCCATATATCTTGTATCTCTTTAGGATTATTCCTATAAGCCTTGGACGCTTTCACTATCGTCTCAAACGCACGTTGTGGAAAATTCGGGATAATTTTAGTATCACCCATGGCCTTATAGTTTCCTGCATTTGCAAATATCCCACAGCTGTAAACCAAGAAGGCCTGGAAAACAGAATATATATATATATATATATATATATAATATATTATACTTACACGTAGTCATTACATTGAATGCTCGCACTACACAATCTTCTTAACAAGCAAAGACAGAAAAAAGATTTAAAAGAAAAAGAAGAACGTTATGCAAAGGAGAAACGTCCTCTTACCGTAAAGTCATCGTCGGTGATACCGGCATGCCCTGCAGCATCTTTCAATTCGTCGATAGGTTCCGCGAGATAAATTTTATGTAACATGGCGAATATTAGTGGAGATTCCGGCGATGTCTGTATCAATACTATCAATCCTCCATTCCATGCGGCTTGGCTCAAGTAATGAGCGTACAACTTTTCCTTCTGCGTCAAAGATTTGAACGCAGTGTCGCATTCTAGCCCGACGACAGGTTGCGTGTTCGGTAACGTATACAAAGTGGTATCTACGCTCATAGTGGAATACAGCCGCTGTGTACTGAAATACATAAATACAAAATACATAAATATTTTTTACGCTCGAAATCATCTGCGTAACAGCTTAAAATTAAAACATCCTTCTTCGTTGGTGACACGGCTGTCGTTGCCGGCTACACAGATATATTACGCTATACGGTAAAAAAGCTGTAACGATAATGATACTGCGGTCGTTGGAAGAAGTTACAGAAGTTAAGGCTACCGCGCGCTGATTCCATAAATGAAAAAAGTGTCTCAAACACTTTCACTGCCACATTCGGTCGGCATAACTTGATGACAGCTGAGATTAAACTTGAACGCAACAGAACAACACGAAAGGTGACACAGAGCTTTCTCTCTTTTGTATATCGACAATAATGTATAACGTATATTGGACAAAATCGAGCGAGTTTCGATGTTGATGATGGAACGATCAAGAACGATGCGAGCGCGAGACCATTACTCGATATCTGCATCTCGGATAACTTGAGAGATTTGATAAATATATCACTTGTTCACTTTTTCACTTGCATAACGCACCGCGAGTACAGGTTGCCCGGTTTGCCGGTCGAATCCCGAAGAGCTTCCGTTCTGCGAGCGAACCTCGCGGTACACGTGAGAGTCGTGAGGGTGAGGTACGAATGATGCGATCTTTCGCTTCCGCGACCGCGAGTTCCACTTGCACGATTCGCGATTAACCTGGACCTGAATGCATTCGAAACAATCGAAACTCGCGACTTGGACATGTTACTCAACCTCAACCTCAACATCAACATCTACGTGATCTATGCACTCGCCACGTCGCCACTCGGCAGTCTCGGCACTACGCCGGAGTGCCGACTGCCGGACCGAAGGCGAAAAGCCACGGGCCGTTAAAACGTCAAGCGTCGATGACAGTAGATGACAGTAGCAAAGTAGGATAGAGTAAATAGGTATTAAGTATGTATATATAAATCAGCAGCAGCAGCTCGACTCGGATTTATTTTGAATGAACGCTTAATTCTTGAACGGGAATGGCGAATGACGAGTCGCAGATTTACGTGAGAACGAAAAAACAGAATCAAGTTTCGGGGCGTTCGCTTCGCTTTGCTTTGCGCTTACCAAACCAAATGAAGCAGATACGAGCGAGGAAGGTCGCAGAAGAAAGACGGAACGGAAGACGGGACACGGAGCACGGAGCACGGAGCTTTGGCTGAACTGGCTCTTATCGTCTTATCTCGCTGCGAGATAATTTCTCGCAAATCTCGCAATGGCTAATGGCTCTGATGGCTCAAGGAAAGATAAGATAAGCTCGCTCGTTATCATAAACGCGTGCCTGTGCGGTGTCCCTTGTGACTGCCAGCTGCCTGTGACCACTGACCTGTGACGCCCATGCCCGTGTGTGCCCGCGTCACCCGCGTGTATGTACGTGTGGTGTGGTGTGCCCGTGTTGCTATGGGCCTACGGGCCGCTTTTCAAACGCGCGTGCCGCGTCTAGGTATTCATAAATCCAGACTGTTCGAGATAATCGCTTATCGCTTTATCTTTATCATTTTTATCTCGTTATTCATCACTCGTGTGTGTGGGCGTTTAATTTTATTATCTACCTGTTGCGCCACGTGCATTCTAAGAAAAATCATTATTATCGCAGACTTTTATTCTATATGTATACTACCTGATGACTACCATGATATAAACATTATAAACAATATAAGGGGTGCTTTCTATCTTGTGTCACGGTCACACTGGTCACAGGTGTATGTATGCATGCATGCACGTACCCCCATTCCCCTGGAGCGGTATTCCGTCGATTCCGTCCGGTATTACTTGGTTCGATATTTATCTTTATGCAGCTCATATTTCTCATTTGATGAAACGCAAGAAACACGTTAATTGGATTCTGGATTTAAAATAAAAGGAATCTAAATATATCTTTACATATGCATGTATTTATTATTATTATTAGATATTTCATAGTTTGATACTTATAATTCTTAGGCACTGAAGGAATGCTGTTACAACTTTTGTGAAAAAAGAACATGCCGGATGTGGTAGAAAAAAAAATTTTTTTTTTTTTTTCAAGTAAATGACAATTTAAAGTTTGATCACTATTTTAAATTGAATAATGATTTTCCATTGACGTGAAGAAAATGAAAAATATATTAAGCAAATTTTTATATTATATTATACCGGCTGAAAAACGTTTTAGTTATAAGATGTACTTATATTTCTACTTGTTTTAAGGATAATATGTTTCAAGAGACGATGAGATGACCCGCGCATCATATGAGAACAGACGTTTCATAGTCCCAGGTTTAACGTTTAACCCTCTGTCTATAAAATCTATACCTAAGCGCGTGATTGGAGATTCGAAACGTGAGAATAAAGGAATATGTAATGCACTGAGAAATCCTTTTTGGTCTCCATTTAGTCTCATATATACCGGGATACAAGATATATAATATTCGACATACACAAGCGTATTCGCGTGTCGCATTTTTTACCGATTCCCATTTGCCTTTTATAATTTTTCTTTCTCCTAGACCCAAATAAAAATGTCTCCAACTTGTCTCCAACCCGAAACGGCCGAGGCCGAACAAAGTGAAACGTACGTTTTAGATCGCAAAAATCAACTACTTTTTAATTTACTTTTAAAATATATTTAGAGACAGATCAAATAATTACTTGGTTCTTAAAGTGTCCAACATGTCTTTAAAATTGTTTAATTTAAGATAAAGCCTCCGATTCTTATGTAATAAAAATTTGTATTGTTTTCTCATCTCATTAATATATTTTTGAAATCTTAACCATGCATTTACATTTTTGAAATCTTCTTTTCTTACGACTCCTGAGACAACTTTTCCTTGCTTTTCTATTGATTGTAAAGTATGAGTATGACAATCTTCAGTTTTCCTGAAAAGAATGACAAAATAATATATAATATAATAGTACATAAATATGTATATTTATATAGTTTTTAGGATTTTGAAATAAAACATGGATGACGCGTTACTAAATAAAAGTAAAAAGAAAATATCTACTACCTTTTCTTTATTTGTTGATTAGCAGTAGAGTACGATATTGCTTTATCATCGAGACGTCTCTTAGTTTTTGGATTGTTGATTTTTATCGATGTATTTGATTCATTAGCTTGCACGCTGTCGTCACTCGTTTCATTTTTAACAATACTACTTTGATATTCTGAACTGACGCGATTAACAACGTCAACACTGAAAGTAACCACTTAAATTCAATACTTGATTACGTACGCAACATTATTATTTGATTCAATCATTATACACATATATGGAAAATCTCATACCTCTCATCATTGTTGTTTCCGACTGAAACATTTACAGGGTTAAACCTTGAAGACGTTTCAACAGATTCCACGTCTCTGAACAAGTTATTATCGGGAACTGCGGAAGGTTTTAATAATCTTCGTATTAAATTGGGATCTTCATGGTTTCTATAATCCTCCGTTTTGAAATGCTTGCTACATACGCAGGCATTACGGTATACCTTTTTTCCTATGGCTTCATACCATTTTAATCTTAAATCTTCATTTTTTGGAAAACTGAAAAGTTTGATGTAATAAAAATTTACATTTTTTCCTTTCCTTTATCATATATCATATATCTACTCTGTATTATTCCATATTATTCGCGTTTTCATAAATTAGAAATTTATATAAAATTATCCATCTCATCTTTTAGAAGGATCTCATTGCAGTTAAAATGGAACGTACGACTTTTTCAACTTTGTAACATATTTATTAATTTGACTATTGACTCAATTTAGTCAATATACTTTTCGTTTTGTGCACGTTAATTAATTTAGCAACAGTATACACAAACACAATATAACCTCAAATACCAAATTTTCATCGTAAAAAACGTGAAAAGCATTAACTTTAGTTTACCATATTGCAATGAACGCGGCAAATCATTAATTAAACAACATAAACATACTAGTTTTTTAACAAATATTATTTCTTTCGTTTGTATGATGAGTATTTATTTCAAGTATCAAAGATTATATCACAATTTATATACTTTCATTCTTCTCTCTCTCTCTCTCTCTCTCTCTCTCTCTCTGTTTCAATTAAATAAAAAAGGTATCTAATGCATTTTTATCCACGTAATAAACGATTAATAATGAAATATGTAATTTATATCAATTGTTTCATGTTTTTGCCAAAGTATGACACTTAGCCTTAAACGTTCATTATAAATAGTACATGTTAATTGACTTTTATTCTTTACTTTCGCTTAAGTCACAATTGTATGCATTTACCAGTAATTACTAAATTTTACGCTTTCGTCGTACATCTATAACATGTTTAAAATCGTGCATATGATTTTACCTATGAAACGTCAAATCGAAATCTCGCCAAGTTCCCTTTTCGATTCCGCATACACAACAAATTGCAACCATTTTTCATAGAGATATACTTTTGTTATTATAGCTGCATTCTGAATTGTACACTCACATCAGTATTACTAGCGTTATCAACATCATTATTTCGTTATCAGATCCTTAGACGGCTTAAGGGGATCCTGCAGCCGTATGATTTACCGACATTATCGTTAATCAATGGATCTTTTAATTGACTTTACAGAATTGCAAGTTTTTGGTTTAAAATTAAAGTCCGCACAAAAATCTAGGGTGGAAAACGCGATTTTATATCAAAAGCACCAAAAAATTAAAAATATTACTTATTGGGGCACATACACAGCTGTCACCTGACGACAATATTTGCTTAAAACAAAAATTCTACAGTTTATACGTACATAATGTTTATCATCCACCCTTGGGAAAACATGTAGGAATAATATCGTGTAAGTAGAAGTAAGATTCAATGCGTACAAAAAAAGATCCATCTAATAATTATTTTAGTAATGTAAATACGGATGCAGGATGACAAGAAGAGCAGCAACAGTAGTTGCCGGATCTTGCGTAAGATGGCGAGCAATCGAAAAAAGGACAGATGTCATTTCGTTAGACAAAGACAGATATAGGGAAAACAAAATTAGAAAGGTTGACATTATCGACATCGAGGAAGTTCGGCAGTCACTGCAGGATCCCCTTAAATCAACGGTTACGGGAAGCCGCATGGGCGCGTTCAGCAGACCAAGCCGCTCAGTAGCAGTCGAACGTGATTGGCTCTTACTTTTAGAACCAACCAATCAACGCAGAGTGTTGATAAGACGAACTCAACAGTTGTATCTGCTGAACGCAGCCAGTGTGGTTCTGTATCTGAAACACCTCATACTACGGCTACGGTCAACGTGAGGCTGGTTTCACATGGGGCGTAAGATGCGTATGCGTAACTTGCGTCAGCCAATCAAATCGTCTCAGTATTTAATCGTATCATACGCGTATAGTAGCTGAGATGATTTGATTGGCTCACGCAAGTTACGCATACGCATCTTACGCCCCATGTGAAACCAGCCTGACGCTACAAATGCTTCGAAGCATTTTTTGATTGGTTAATTCGTAAAATTCTTTTTTCTGATTGGTCAATCAACTGCTTCGAAGTATTTGTAGCGTCACGTTGACTGTAGCCTACAGCATCGAATTCAAGCTTGATTCATAAGAAGAATTGACTTAAAAATTCCCTAGCGGCACTTTTTTTCTTTCTCTTTCTGGAGCAGTCGGAATGCACAGTCTATATATGTACTTCTTACGTCTATGCTACAGCATTTTAATCAAAATGAGTCTTATGTCTTATATCTTTTACGTTTGTGGTTATATACGCCTCCATATTATGTCCATGTTATATTACCGGCATTGCCGCAGATATCGTAGTTTTCATTCGATCCTTATTGTTTTTTCAATCTTCGAAGATTAAACGATCGATCCTTTTTTTTGTGTATGTGTGCAATTTAGTGGCCGAAATGACAAAAGGTAAATATGAATAAAATATATTGATTAACGTTTACACTACTGACAATGAGAGATAATGATAACAACAAGAACAAAAAGTTTCGAGCAATTTGCGTTTGTTTCCTTTTCAGACGAAAGTTTAGAAAAGAAGTCCGTGGAACGTAATGATAGCGATAAGAAAGCAGTGTCCGATTCGGGGCCTGACCCCTCGGCTCCGATCACGAGGAAAGGAGTATTAACGTCCTTTTTAACTGGCAAAGCTATGGAAATACCGGAACAAGATATTGTAATAAATTAAATATTTTCAATATATTGTTGTAATAAAAAGATCTTTTGTTAAGCATACACGACGCTAGATTTTATCTATATTTTATAGCTCGGCAAATGCAGGTTTGTCTCCGAGTTTGAAAAATTGAATCGCATCGGAGAAGGTACCTATGGTATTGTCTATCGAGCCAGAGATACAAAAAATGACAAAGTCGTTGCATTGAAGAAAGTGAGAATGGAACATGAGAAAGATGGGCTGCCAGTAAGTGGTCTCAGAGAAATATCGGTTTTATTGTCGTGCCGACACGAAAACATCGTGCATCTAAGAGAAGTAGTGGTAGGCAGAAGCTTAGAGAGCATATTTCTTGCAATGGAGTATTGCGAGCAAGATTTAGCAAGCCTGCTGGACAACATGCAGGCCCCATTCTCAGAAAGTCAAGTCAAGTGTATAGTATTGCAAGTGTTGAAGGGCCTACGTTATTTACATCACAACTTTATCGTTCACAGAGATTTAAAGGTCTCTAATCTTCTTATGACCGATAAGGGTTGCGTAAAGATCGCTGATTTCGGACTGGCTAGGTGGTTTGGTTTACCGTTAAAGCCGATGACTCCTAGAGTGGTGACGTTATGGTACAGAGCCCCCGAATTACTATTGCAAGCCAAGACACAGACTACGTCCGTTGATATGTGGGCAGCTGGGTGCATATTGGGTAAATAACAGCCATGCTAGGCAGACACGTTTATTAATGCACTTATCAATTTTTTGTTTTATGTATAGTATATTATGTATAATACCGCTTGTTTCATTCTCAGGAGAATTATTGGGACACAGACCCTTGTTACCTGGTAGATCGGAAATCGCACAATTAGAATTAATTGTCGATTTATTGGGTACACCCAGCGAAGCTATTTGGCCGGAATTTAATTCGTTGCCAGCGCTACAGAATTTTACGCTTAAACAGCAACCGTATAATAATTTGAAACAAAGATTCCCCTGGTTGAGCGCTGCTGGTCTTAGATTATTGAATTTCTTATTTATGTACGATCCAAAAAAGAGAGCAACTGCTGAAGAATGTTTACAGAGTAGCTACTTTAAAGAAGCGCCTTTACGTTAGTGTCTAGTCGTTAGACTTCTTAAATATTTGTCTTTTCGATGTAGATTACGGTTACAATCCATTTAAAACTGATTAATTTAATATGTTGTAGCTTGCGATCCAAAACTCATGCCTACTTTCCCACAACATAGAAACATGAAAAAGGCGACCATTCAGAAAGAGAATCGTGAGCAAGAACCTACCATTACCGATCAAACCAATAATCTACCGGCGATTTCAGATCTTGTACGTTTATCAGAGCATGATAAAAATGATTTATTAAAAAATATATATATATATATACAGACATATGTGTTTTACATATCTATTTGTGCTTATGTGTTTTCAGCTTGGATCATTGGTTAAGAAGAGACGTGTTGAATAAAAAAATTTGCTGCTTGAAGAAAGGATTATTCTTGGTACTTCTTGGATATATCTTGTTCCGATTGCATTTTATGATTGATAACTATGTGTACATCTGTTACCAAATAAACTCTTAACAAATACTTGTGTAACAGTAGCATCTTTTGTTGTTTTATTTGGAAGAAATGATGACATGGACAATGAATGATAAATTGCATAACTTGTATATGTGTTTACAGAAAATGCTGATTTAGCGAATAAAATGAAACCTTTGATAAACTTTACATTTGTATGTCGGCTGAATTCCATTCGATTGCTTCATTGCGTATTTGTTCACAAATATCGATTGTATCCTCAATGACGAACGCATTTCGCACACTATTATATATTTCAACGAATTACATTTTACAATGATTCTTGCTGCTTCGCATGTAAAAATGTAGCACGTGCATTAAAATACTTGTAAGAAATTACGATTTCTCATAGCGTTTTTTGTATTCGCCACGTGGATCGTATTTGGCAACGAGGCGATCCCAATCCCTAGATCGCTTTGCTTTAAGATGATTTATCACTTTTTCCGCCATAACTTTCTGTTTATCGTTGCATTTGTCACAACCGTTCGACAAAGCATCCGGCAGAGTCTCTATAAATAAAAACGTACATGTCATTTCGATTTCTCAATTAACATATATAGCTAGAACTTGAACTATTTCCAGATGCACAACGCGATATATGTTTTACAGATATTTTGTGTAGCATTGAGCATACTTTTGCAAGAGCATTCGAATAAAATTATCATTAAAAAAGCTATATAATTAGTGCAAAAGAACAATTGTAATATTGGTAATATATAACAATTAAATTTATTTGTGCTTGACTTTAATCATACGAATTATATATATATATATATATATATATATATATGTGTGTGTGTGTAAAATATTTTAAATTACATTTAAATATTCTTGTAAAAATATATTGGATCTTGTAATATTAAACGCGTCGAATAAAAGAGGGAAGAGAGATGTAGATTTAATTTTAATATCGCCTATATTAATATATGTATATGTGATCTCGCCATTGTACACTATTATTAAGTTAACGTTAATAAAGCTTACGTAAACTTTAGAGAACATAAAGTTTACGTAAACATAAACTTTACACATTACAGTTATGTAAATTCAAAAGCAAACTCGAATGTAATACGCGCGAGAAAGTTCCCAGCGATAATTATGTAACGGAGAGAGTACACGTCGAATTCTCTGCCGCAATTATAGCTTATACAATTACAACTGCGTTTGTTTGGTCCATCTGAGTAGTCTTCAATTGGAAGAGGTAATATATGCATATTACAATAAGTAATGCGAGCAACTGCTAATTTTATTCCAAGTGAAAAATAAGGACAGAAATAAGGACGTCATTGTAGCTTGTGATGTAGCTTAAATTCATTGAGAGGGAGATCCCTGTATATAATTTTCAACTCGTCATTATAATTTCTCCTTTCCTACTTACTTCTCAGCTCGCGGCCTTCGGCGGTGCAAGGTCCTTCGTCCATCAAGCACCGAATGTAATTAGTGAGAACACGATTATTTTGGAGGATCTTGTCCACGTTCACGTCATCGTATTTTCTGGTATACTTTTCGTCGGCGACGACCAAAGCCACCAGCGAGACCAATAATAAGACCAAAAGACATAAAGGTCCCTTCATCGTGCGCCGTGCGGACCGATATTCGATACGCAAAAATCGACGAGTACGAAAGAAGAATAATTTCTTTCTTAGCTCACGAGGCCGCAGGCAAGAGTGAAAAACTAAAGCGACCCATCAGCGGTGGCTAGCTTTTATATAGTCGAGTGGAGGATGGAGGATGGAGGCCGAATCGAACGGAGGGGTCTCTTGTGCGTGCGTGCGTGTGTGTGTGTGTCGCACAACATCCCGAACATTTCAATTGCCTCCCAAGTGTACATATAATGTGAAAATTTGTACTCTGCCAACATTTTGACACTTGATTATTCGCTCATATCTACATATATAGGTATGGGTCTAAATGACAGGAACCAGCTATCAGTACCAGCTATTAGTTGAATCCATATCATCATCTTTCATTTTTCACCTATAATAAATATATAATATCAATGCAGTAATTTTAAATTTCATAATCTTGACGAAATCTATAACGTCGGGAGTAAGTAATGAATGAAGTTAGTAATTATAACATTACCTCGAATTTCAGGTGAGTTCCCTGCTTATGAAACGTGTATGTAATAGTCTTTTTGTGCTCGCGTGTGTCACAACGTTAGAATTTTTTGTCTAATTGTAAGTCATCAAAATGCGTGGCCTGTCGAGTCTTTGACCCACTTTATTAGAGAATTACGTCGAAAGAAACTCTATAAAATTCTGTAAACTATATATATCTTCTTTATACTCTCGTCAAAAGGTTTCAAAATATTTCGTATTGTAAGATATTGAATGCAAAATCTATAAAGTATACGAAATCGTTATAATTCATTGATAAGCTTTTCGCGATACTTGGAAATGCTATGCCACATTTATTATATATACATATAAACGATTATACATATATATTATATTTTCTCCACTTTTAATTTATTTTCTTTCAACACTTGTACAACTGTAAAGTGCTTAAAAATATATATTACTGCAGTGAAGTACGCCTTCAAAAATCGTTTATGAGGTAATAGTGTATGAATGACGCAAGCTGTTGACGCACGAGGAGAAAGTGGCTTCGATGAACCGCTAACGTAAATCCATAAAGATTAACGTCTACATCTTTTTATCATTAAAAATGTCCAACCAATCATATATATGTATATATATATATATAT